TAATTAAATATATTAATATAACTTAATATTATAAATTATACAAATATCAAACTAATTTAATAATATTAAAATTTAGGCATTTTTAGATTTTCTAAATAACTTTACTTAAATTATTAAAGGCAATTTTATTGAAATAAAATACCAAAATTATATAAAATATTAAAAAGTAAAATTGTATAATATTAGTATTACAAATTTTATAAATATTAAACAACTTTAATAAAAATTGAAATTAAATAATTTTAGATTTTACAAATATTTTATTTAGACTATTAAAGTGATCTTCTTAAATTATAATGTCAAGATTATACAAAACATCAAAAAATCTAAATTTATATATCATTTGTATTATAAATTTCATAAATATTAAACTAACTTAATAAAAATTAAAATTAAATAATTTTATAACTACTAAAAAATTTTATTTAAATTACTATTAGTAATTTGCTTAAACTATTAAATACTAAAATTAGTTAAAATAGAAAAAGTAAATTTTGTAATATTAGCATTATAAACTTTATAAATATTAGGTCAATCTTAATAAAAATTGAAATTTAATTAATTTTTGTCTTATAAATTACTTAAACTATTAAAGGTGATTTTTATAAACTAAAATGTTAAAATAAATCAAAATAAAAAAAGTTAATTTTAATATATAATTAATAATTAAGCAAGTATATATTTTTTTGTACTTTCATTTTTTTTGATAACAATTCATATGAGCTCTTTACAATAGAAAGGGAAGAAATTACCAAAAAAAAATTTTTTGAGCTAATGTTAAATCTGGACTTATTTTATCAAAAAAATAATATTTAGCTTATAAGCAAAAAAAATTTTTTTTGGTAGTTTTCTCCTTTTTTATTGCAATGAGCCATATGTTTTTATTTATTTATTTAATTGATCACAGTGTGTATATATATAAAAAAAATAAATAAATTTTTAAAAAAAAAGATAAAATGAGATAAAATTTTGAATATAAAATATAATATAATAATATATTAAAATCAAAGTAAAGGAAAAATCAATAAAAAATTAATAAAATTAAAGATTTATTATAAAAAAAAAATAAAAGTAAAATAATTAAGCAAATATTACTTTATTAATAAAAAAATATAAAAAAAAGTCAAATAATAAAACTGTAGTAATACAAAAAAAACAAATAAAATAATTGGTAAACAGAATATTTGCAAAAAATGTAATACAAAATTTGTAAGCAAATAATAATTTTCATGCTTAAGATTTTCTTTATTATATACATTTAATATAAAATACAAAAAAATCAAATAAATTCAAAAAAAGTATTGATAAAGAATAACAAAATCAATAAAAATATATTTTATTTAAAATATGATGATTAAATTTAATACAACACAAAAATGTCACAGAAAAGCTTAACACAAATTTATTCTAATGATAATATAGCAGCTTATAGCGATGCCAGCAACTGTAGCTATAGCTATAGTAGATGAGGACCTTTCAATTCTACCGAATTTAAAAATTAATTTCAAAGTTCATTGAAAAAATATCATAAATTGAAACTCTGATGTATTATTCTTTAGTAATGATAAATTTAATTCCTTAATCAAATCAACAGGTCTGAAAGAATGTCCTTGTTTGGGTTTTTCTTTAGTTCTTGATAAATATACGAAAAATCCTTGAAGCGCTTTTTTTATCGTTTTGATCGTCTATTAAAAGAAAAAAAAGTTATTCATGAACTTTTTATAAAGAATACACATGCACACCAGTTTTCTACTATTTCCCTGCCATAAGGAAACGCTTCAAAGCATGCCTTCACGTCAGAATAATTTGCGCTAAATTCCGAATCCCATCATTATTCGTGTCATGTGAAAAACCGATGGCGAGCAAAAATTAATGTAAAAATAAATGATTTTATACTTTATTATTATTAATACTTGTTATTCCACACGCAGTGAAGAATAACCTAAGTAATCCGAATAATTATAATTATTAAATGCTATTAAGTTCATATCTAAAAGTTCCACAAGATGATGATTAGAAAGGAGGCAGTATTTTGCACATTAAAGGTTTTTTGCCATCATTCAAGCCCATGCAAATTTTCTATCATAATTGTGGATTACCCGTGTCGAGATGATTTATCATTTTTGAGTTAATTACATTAACAAGCATACTATAATGGTAAATTTTTTAAAATAAAACGCAATAGAGAAATTTTCCTATTAGAATTAGGTTTCACATAAGTCGTCGTCATAATTTTAATTTTTCTTGTGGTTGCGTCGTAACCATGGATATTTCAAGTTATTCTAACTTTTTGATTTGATGTGATATTCTTCAACTTATCGTTCGTTATTATTTTGATATTTGAAACTTCTTCCTCCAACATATGGCAAAAAAAAAAATTCTTCTGCTTTCTTCTTTCTCACTCACTCCCCATATAGCCCATTAGCTTTAATAGAACAAGCAAATGTTTATGTCTCAAACATTCATAAAAAGTTATTTGATGAAAATAAAATCACGTGGATTTCACATGATTTTAGTTTTTTTAGTTGGGAATTGAAAATTAAATAAATAAGAAAATTAAATCGTAAAGGTTCATGATGCAAGTAAGTATGAAAATAATATAAACGCAAATTCTTGTATACTTGTGTATGATCAGATTATTTAGGAACAACTTTTGAAAGTTTAATTTTTTTATATAACTTTTTAATCACATGATCTTATTACAAACCTAGCTTACAATTGTTAAACCAAGCAAATCCCTGTATTTAAAAAAACTATCTTAAACCTTTTCGACACGTATATGCCATTCGTCGAAACTTTTGCCACCCTCGAAACTTTCGCAATTTTGCTTTAATAAAAATATTTGGCAAAACTTTTCGATAGGTTTCGATTTCGATGCTTGTCGAAACCTCCAGGTTTGCCCGGTATCCTGATTACAGTTGCTGAACAATAAGTTATTTGTTAAGATAATCCTTTGAGCGGAAATAAGTGCATGCTTTGCTTATAACCTATCGGTTTTGTTGCTTCGGTATTTCGTTTGTTCCTTTATTTAGTTTATCGGCAATTTCAATCGGTCAAACCTTTCAGAAATCTCTCATGCGTTAGTGGTTTCGGCTTTTGTTTGATTCTACACGGCGTTTTTGATTGTACTTTTCTTTCTAGTTGTTTGATTGGATCCTTTCAATTTTAAGATATTACCTTGTCTTTGAAATTGCTTATTTGGGAAATGTTTTAAAAGTTTTATTTATCTTTTTAGAATTATTTAATTTGTTTCCCTAATTCTTCCCCGTTCACAAAATTTTCAACAATTAAATCTGTTTTATTGTTATAGAAATCATTTACTTGAGCCAATTTGTCTTAGCCCCAAATTACTTTTCGATTAGATTTCCACTGATATTAAAAATTAAACTAAATTCTGCCTAAATATCTTTGATTCACGGAAATAGTAGTAATTTCACTTTCCGAGAGAACAAATCATTGTAATTGGTTGGCGGGGATTGTTGACCGCCCTTTTTTTTATTTCTTCCATTACGATTTAAGGATCGCTAATATTACATAGTGCAAGTATCTTGAAAAATTTTCATATTTTCATAAAATTTTCTTTCATCTAGAAAGGTCATTTTATTTTTTTAGAATTAGATGAGGAAGCTAATGATAGACAGATTTATCAGTGTAGTTTATGTAAAAAATCGGTCAAATGATTTGATAATTTTTTTTTTTTAACTCGGCTCGTTATTTGCTTTTACAATGTATGTCAATGTCTATCGAAACCAAGAAAAGGGTTTTGAAATAGCGCGAAGCAAAAAATGGAATTTATTCATACATGCATAAGTATTAACAATGTATTAAATGAACTTCATTTCATCATGAACCCCCTTAAATGATTTAGTTGATAACCATACCATTTCAGGAGATTCTGAATGATAAAAATGTTACTTTATTTACTTGCTTACAACATTTCTTATTCATAATTATTTTTAATTATTTATTACCATTTTCCGAACACAAGCCAGGTGACACGATTTACAAAACAGCCCTAAAATAATAAAAAAAATATTTACTTCTTTTTTTTTTCGGTGCAACAACAAACAACACACAATCAGCCATCGTCTTAAAAAATAAACTTTTTTGGAAACAATCAAACCCACAAATGGTGAATAAACCATACAATTTAACCTCAAAGTCAATAGGTCCTTGTAATTAATTAAAAAGAAATAAAATTCTGGGGGCCCACAAAAATTTTTTTATGATGTAGTTCATTGTAACATTTTAATGTAGATTATGTACGTTTGATCCTAAAAGTGTTTTCCTTGCATTTAATTCCATCAATCATTTTTAAACAAATTTAATTTAATAAATAAACAAGGGATCTGTTTTATTATTTGTGTAATGAAACTAAACCGCATATATACAACATTTCTAGCTTTCAGTACTCTCTACATCCGACAGCTTGGTAAGTTTCGACTGTCAAAATTCAAAAAAAAAAATCTTCAGGAGCTTCGAATTTTTTTTCTTTCATTACTATTACCATAAAAAGCTTTTTTTTGAGATATCAATGGCATGGTTAATTATTTTTTACCATGCATTACATCACATTCATGACTTTCATGAAAATTTTCGAAATATCAATCTTCTAAATGCTAAATCGAATGAATCAACTTTCTAGTACGCCAAACGTTTGAGATGAAGGAAAAAAAAAGAAAGAAAATATGACTCGTCCGTACCCAACCATTGTCTTGTCCTTACAAACATTTCATTACTTACCTGCGTTGGGCCATAAGTGACGATATCTGTGTCATACTAAATGTCCTTCACTACTAAATTTAGAATCCCCAATAAAGTTTGCGTACAAAATAAGATATATAAATAGAAACTTGGAAATTTTTTTTTTATAAAGAAATTTTTTTTTTTTTTGTTTTTTAACTATAAAAAAAGTTATTTTTTTTTTAAAAAAAAATAAATAAATTAAAATTAATAAAAAAATTAAATAATTAAAACAAAAAAAAAAAAAGATTTTTTTCATGACTACCCTATCAAACGAAAACTTTTCTTTTGAGCAAGTAGAAGCTGGCCAATTTGAAAATAAGACCAGGAGTTTCAGAGAAGCCTTGAAAGAGTACCTTTTGTCCGGACAACAGAAGGGAGGGAATAGTTTCGCATTACAACACGATTACGATTATACAAACAAGAAAGAAAAATATCAAATTACGATTAGTCGTGATGGAAAGTTTGTTGCAACGCTCGACACAGGTAATCACCATATAGATGATCATTTCTTGCGATCTCCAAAGCATTGTACGTACCTAATTCAATTGTAACCCTCCAAAATTTTAGAAAACCTTCGGATTAAGGTTTTAAAAAATACTGATTACCGCGGAAGTCATCAAAAGACAGTTGTCTCCAATCAGAATGAAAGTGAAATAATTGATGAGCGAATTGCGCTTTTTAAAATAAATCACAATTTAACTATTAATAAAATTTACAAAAAGGGCGAAATGCCTCCACGTTATAAAAAGGTCAAATCTTATGATGATATCACAGAATACATGGAAGAGGATGTTAATGACATTTCAAGTACCGACGAATTATCTGAAACAATTAATAACAACTCAAATAATCGATTCAGATGGTCGCTCGATATATCAAACATGGATGGAAAATTTCTTTTTGTAGCGATATCTTACATAGACGTTGAGGAAGATATGAAATGTTTAGAAAAAAAGAGCAAGCGTCAGATGTTTGATTATAAGAAAATTAAAGTGCAGGAGGCAACTTACCATGAGAAAAACAATAGCTACACGATTAATGTCCCTCATGATACTCCGGAATTCCACACGGGGATTGCGATATATCGTCTTAGATTAAAGAAATCAAGGAATGGCGACCAGAATGATCCCGAGGAGGAAAGCTATGTTGTTGATAAAGGTTATTTTTGGAATAATTTGTCGGGAATTTGTAGATTTATAGAAAATTTTGATCCGAATTCGATTTCTAATAATATTGATACCCCGGATTATATTTTGACAAGATTTATAGCATTGAACTTTGACGGCATATTTAACTTTGAATATCACAAGTATCATAAGAATTTTCTTTTGAATGAAAGGTTTCATTATCCGAAAATCATCAAGAATGAATTAAAGAATTGGCATACAAAACAAAATTTACCCGACTGCATGAACCGTCTTCTTTCGTGTATTTATGATAAGTACTTTTTGGTCGAACATTACAAAAACAACGCACAATTTCTTGAAGGTAAACAATTATCATCCTCTTGATTTTCAACACTTTTAACAAATACTTGCTAACAAATCTATTGTAGTTTATGATCTGGCGGATATGAAATTAGAAAGTAGTGCGAAAAGAATCGAAAGTAATAATAACGTCATAAGAAAGTACAATAGAAATTCTTTTTCAATCGATAAACAGAAGCTGCAACTTTGTTTTACCCGAGGACAATCCGTTGAGTAAGTTTTCATATTACGTGTCGCGTTATTTAATTCGTTTATGGAATTAACCTCTCGATGTCCCTATCTTTTTTTTTTTTTTTTTTCAGAATATACTTTATGGAGAACGGCTTGGAGATCTCATCTAGAAATTTTGAGGAACTTGAAAAAATATATTATCTAGAATTTATCGAAAATGATGAGAAACTACTTTTGATTGGCAGTGATGAAGAAAATAATCAAAAGATTATTGTGTGGGATTTGTATAATACAGATAAGATTGAAACATTACACTTGGACAAAAAACTTATGATACAAGATTTTGATTCTCACTTGGCTAGAACGTCCGGAAATCTTTTAAAGGTTGATGATAAAGGAAATGTTATCTCAGTGCTCAAGATGATTGAAAATAAATTAAAAAAGGAAACAAGGGAGGAAATATTTCATGAAAATCTAGTAGAGTATATTACAGAAATTGAAAAAGAGCCTATATTTAAAGAAGTATTGTGGCAGGAGAAGCACACAATATTCTTTTATGAGGCCTATGATGAAATTAATTTCAGGCCATTAGTTAATGAAACAGAACCATGGGTAATGGACAATTATGACGAATTTTCTTTTTATCTTTGTAATAATGAAACAGAAGCTTTGCAGCTTATAGTTGGAAGATCTACCGTCCAAATCTGGCATAAAATTCTATCGGATCCTAAAAGTAATGGAAAAGAGAAGGAGAAACTTCCCAATCAAGGAAATGTATTCCTTGAATTTATTTGGACGAATGGTATTCCAGTAAAACAAGAAAATAAAGAAAATAGATTACGAATTGAAAAGGTTCAATTTGGGTTTAAATACTTTTACATGGAAGTTTATTGGTATGAAGAAGATGATGATGAGATAAATGAAAAAGATAATGCAAATGAGAATGAGTTTAGTTATGAAGAAAAGATGAAAAATATGGAAAAAATTAAAGGAAAATCATTAAAAAGAAGAACAGTTAAGTGGGAAGATATTAATGAGAATATAAAGGGAATAAGATATTCTTGCAAAGCATTAGAGCATCTTAATAAGCGTGCAAGATCTCTTGTAAGTTATGATAGAAAACAAAAAGTAAGTTGATTTAATTATTTAATTTAATCACTTTTTTTTTTTTTTTTAAAAAAAAAAAATAATTTAACCATCAAAAAACATTTCGTTAATTTAACTCAAAAGTATGAAAATATGGTTATGTACATTAATCATATAGTTTGGAGATATATTAATCATAAGCCAGATCAATATAGATTACTAGATGTTCGACATAATGTTATGAAAAACTTAATCCTTGGTGACTGTGATCATTTAATTAAGTATATTTTATTTGGAAGTAAAGAATACGCAGCTTCTGCTGAAAAAGAAAAAAAAAATAAAAAGGATAAAGTTAATGAGGAGGTAGAAAAATTCACAATCAAGCACATACCAAGGAACATATTGTGGCAAAGGAAAGAAGATAAATATATACAGGCCGATGATCTTGAGCCTTTTGATAACGATGAAGAATCAAAAGATATTGAAGAAATATTGCCAAAAAATGATATGGAATTGGCGATTTATCATTGCAAAGGTAAATTTTAATAACTCTAATTTTATGATGTAGAATTATATAATTCTTTGTTAATAAATTAAAAACATCGATATTAGGACGTGAACTAAGGGACACAATCATGGTTGCATATCTTTTGGAATATTATTCAAGACATGCAAAAGATTATGCTGGTTGGATGAGTACTGTTTCCAAGTCACTTCCTTTGTTATACAAATATGATTATGGTTTGTCTTTTAAAGTTTTTGTTTTTTAAAGTTTAAAAAATGAATTCAGATATTCACTTATAATTATAACCCGTAGATGATTATACCAGAAAGTTATTTCGTAAAGAATGTTTTGCGGATCAAAATCATTTTTCGGCACAAGATTCTCATGAAATTATTCCAAAAAAATACAGTATACAACGTAGTAATAATCCTGAATTCAAGGCATTTAAACCTATAGACAAACTGAAGTCAGATAGAGAATCATACAATTCAAATTGGAAAGCAATAAAATCCGTCAAACATAAAATGTCCTTATGGCTTGAAAACTTTGATAATGCTAATGGAAAACCACCATTAGCTTTACGTGTTGTACCCCTTCCCGGGTTTATCACACATACAATCAAAGCAGAAAATGTTAATTATTATTTTAGAAAAAATCTTATAAACATTATTTGGTTTATGTTTTTACCACGATGGTATAAAATTAGTCGAAATGAAAAGGATAAATTAAGTCCATTTTCAAGAGTGATTCGATACGAGAATAATGATGATATGTTTGATAACCCAGCGACAGAAGCGGTCATTAATTTTTGTTGGCCAAAAGCAAGAAATTTTTTCTTTTTTCGTTTTATTCGATTCCTTATTTTTGGATCTTGTTTTGCGTACGTTAGTTGGGCATATATGGTTCATGATGAAAGTACTTTAGCATATAAAAAATATATAATTGCATCGATTATAATATTCTATTATTTAGCAATTTACTTTTTCACTGCTAAAATGATACAGCTACATTTTTATGGAGTGAGGAAATTTTTTAGTGATACATTTAATTATTTTGATATATGTTCGGTTTTAATTCCCGTAATAGTAATGACAATAATTCTTGTCAATTCATTTGACTTTTCCGAGAGCTTTGGGAGTATTCTAGCTGTAGACTCTCAATTGGTCATAGGAATATCCTTCTCAATTCTTTTAATTTGGATAGAAGTTGTAAGTTTTTAATTTTTCTTTGCGCGCGGTGTTGATTTATGTTACTTAAAAAAAAATCATAATAATTTTGAATTTCAATGATAATTTTTTTTAGATTTCATATCTCCGTTTAATATCAAGTAATTACGACACTATCTTTTTTTTTTACTCGAAATATATTATTCTTTTAACGATTATATATATATATTTTTCAACTTTATAGATATTTCTATTTACATTTATTATGTTTTGAACATTTGCATAACTATATATCCATTTCTTTTATTCTTATTAACTATAGTCATTGCCTTTACGCATACAATGTGAGTTTATAAATTCATCCTTTTATTATATTTTTTACTTGTTTCTTATTCTAAAATTATGAGACCAATATTTAATTACATCTATGTAGGTTCATATTGCTTAAAGATCCAGGTGTTGATGTTAAAACTACTACAATAAGTGGTGTTGCCACTTCTGAAAACACCAATGAAGTTTTTAATGTTCAACTTATAAATGATTTTGATCGTACAGATCCAGTTGACAATCCATACTCTTACTTTCCAACCGCGTTAGAAGCTTCCTATTTTTGGATAAATGGTCAATTTGTTCAAAGAGATGATTTTGATTCGTGGGCCGTTGAGGCATTTACTTTGCTTGCTAGCATCATGCTTGTTACCGTTTTACAGAATATTTTAATTGCTATTATGGGGTAAGAGATTTTTTTAAAAGATAAAAATCATTTATTCCCACGGGTCAGGGTTCATTTCATTTAATATTCATTCCACTTTAATTCATTTCTTCCATCCAGTGGTGTTTACGGGGAAGCAGCAACTAAGGGCAGACAAGCTTTATTAAGGTTTCGAGCAAACCAAATAGCAGATTATGAAGCATTACATCACATTCATTTTCGAACCCAGGAACCGGAACCGAAATACATTTATTATATCGGCCAAGCAAAAAATTTTGAGGAATGGTACAAGAGCCGAAAGGGTGATCGAGGTCCGATATATAAAGAATTTGAAGAAAAGTCCACTTTTAAAAGATACAATTTCAAGGAATCAAATTTTGACAAAGTTTCAATTTGGAAATTTGATGATAAATCTAAGAAAGATAAGAAGAAGGAAGGAAAAATTGAGAAAAGTTTAAAGTCATCACAGGTAACAGATATAGATGAGGAGTCGTCCAAAGGGAAACATTCCGCGCAAGATACAATAGAAAAGGATCATGAAGCTATTGATAGGGAAATTCAGGAAATTGAACAATTGAGACGTGACATGAATTCTTTAGTTGATAAATTATTAGGAAAACTCAACAATCAAAAATTTAATTTATAGAATGAAAGACAATTTATTTAATTTTTTTTCTTTTTTTATTTATTATTGTAGTTCATCGTTTCATTTTTGTATTTTCTTGTAATTTATTTTCTTGTTTATATAGAATTAATATTTGATTGATTAATTTTTTTAAAAAATTTGTGATACCATGTAATACATATTTCTTCCATGAATAAAAATTAAAGTCGTAATTCATCTATTATTCTATAAAAAAATGTAATGAAATTTTGTGTACATAATTTTTATCCATTACTGGATTTTGGTGACAAATCACTTAAAAGTTGTATCCGGAAAAAGCTCGTATTAATTCAAGAACGTTAAAAAGTAAATAATTAAGCAGGAAACTATTTTTGAACCCAATTATGTTCGTTTATCTCCCCTATAATAAAGAGAATCAAAATAAAAAACAAAAATCGCGACGGACCAAGGAACAGATGAAATTGGAGAAGGAAAAGGAGCAGAAATTCAATTAAAGAATAGATTATTACACGTGATGAAATATCGATATTGCTGGTCATTTCGGATAAACTTGCGGTCGCTTGTTAGGTTTACAACATATACTACTCGCAAAAATTTCTTCGATTTTTTGCGGAGCGTCTCGTCTTACAAAATCCTTGCTCTCCAGCTTCAATTACATAAACGAAACCTTTCAATTCAATTTGTTGAGAAATTTGTATCTTGAGGATTGACTTGATTATTCCAAATAGATGTCCTTCCGTCAGCAAGTTCCGAGTTTTATATTTTCTATTTCATAAAACGAAGGATCCTGGGTTTCTCAAAGTCTTTATTAGTGAGATTTCTATCTTTCAATGGATATTGTCATACGAGCTCACGTTTGGTTAATTATAATAAAGTTCGTTCTTGGACAGCTTTGTGTTTGTCACAACAATCAAAAAGGACTAAGTCTAATAGATAGGTTCGAAAGGCCTTCAAACTTGCATAATTGGATTTTATTATATGGGTTGATTGCTAGGAAAATCAGGTTCCGGGAATTTTTTAACAAAATTGAGATTTTTATTGCATTTTAGTTTTTGATGTTATTAGATTAAAATGTATTAAGCTCTTAATTTAGTGAAAAATTTCTCGGAACCTGATTTTCCTAGAAACCCTCCCATATTATTTGGACAATCCAAACGATTAATTCTTTATTCTATAATACTCGGAATATTTTTATTTAAAAACAAAAAAATATGAATGTTGACTTACTACACTAGCTAGTTTACCTGATTATTAATACATATATTGGTTTGGTTAAAGGATCCGTTGTGTGGGTTTGTTAGATAATAAAACACGAGGAATTCTTTATTTATATAAAATAACAGTAGTGACTATCATTTTGATATGAACACAAGCATGAATAGCTTCGAACAATTAATTGTAAATAATTTTTTGTTTGATTTTGTCCAGAATAAAGACATTACCGTTATTGATAATTAGTAAATCAGGCATATAAGTTTTGATCATTTGAAGAAATGGTAAAATTTATTCATTTATAATATACATTAAGTTATTTTCCTATTAAAATATCTTGATATTTATTCTTTGCTAATATTAATGTATTATAAAACGAAATTGGCAAATAGATTAAATATAATGTAACAGTTTTTGATTAACAGCAATTTTTTTTTTATTTTTTCCGAGTAATTCATCTATTTTGAATAATTTAAACTTTATATAGTAAAGTGTTTGCTATTTAGCTTGGAGCAAATTTTTCAAAAAAAGAACAAATAGTCTATATATTTCTCATCTTTAAATCTCTCAAACGTCAAGCCTCGGAACTTTAAGCATATCACCATCTCAACCACACCATATGACGATTAGCCTCTCCCATAATCTCATTTTCACTTTTCGGACCAGGAGGTTTATCCTTTAACCTGGTTCTCGTAATGGCTCGCAGTGCGACTTCTGCTTATGCAATACCTTATTCGTCTGTTTTATCACTCTGGATAAAACAACTTATTTCGATAACCCATTACGATTACGGAACGTTCCGTCTTTCTCCTCCCACTTTCAAGCAATTCATCCTAAGTTTGGTTCCCCATCCATAAGTTTCATAAATTCAAAGGTTTTTCATCTCCCTAGTAAGACTCAGAGGACTGACTCGCGATTCTAAATCGTATGACCTTATGGTAACTTCAATCTCGGTAGATTGGGCTCTACCTAGGATTTTACCTGGCTCCCATCCCATAAAATCATAAACGAACAGCATCTCTTCCTTCCTCTTCCTTTACTTCCCTTACTTCCGAGTTAGCATCACAAAGATATATAGTGGTGGCAGTAGACCTTTAGGAGTCTAAGATTCCATGAGATTACAAGATTGCCATCCTATCATTACTGAAACTACTCCCCTTACCAGCCCCAAGGGATAAATGATTCATAGATGTTATCATTTACGGCCGGGCATCCCTTACCATTTCGCCTATTCATTCCAGTCTGAAGTGGTATTCTGATGACTTAGCTAAGGACGTGCCTACTCCATCCTCGATTACTCCGACGCCAATCATTCATAAAAGTTCAAAGTCCACACGTACGATAACTTTTATTTCAGAAGCCAGTAGAACTGACAGCGGATTCTCTTACATCATTGGTTGCTAATAACTTGGCATTACTTTCGTACCTCTTTGTCCATAGTTATTTGATTCACCTTCATTCAAGCGAACCAGTCTATGAGGGCTTACCGACATCCAGGTACTTCTCCGTTCTAGAATCCCTAGAACTTCAAATAACCGCCACTCCTATTCATTAGAGTACACCCCAACGTCAAATCGTCAGAGCCTCTGATCACCTGCTGGTAAATAGTCAGTGGGAGCTGCTAACGAACCTCCAAGTGTCGAAGGTTGAAATTTAAAACGAGTTGATGTAGAACACCTGAACAAGCGCAGGTACACCGGTAGCTTTAACCCTCATTCCAAACCTCAGCATTTACCTATGAACGAGCTACTATTCACATGTTACATATAAAAGCATCGGCAACTTCAATATCACATTCCGCCGGCTAATCGAAGGAGGATTCTCACACAGTAAACAAACCGTGATACCCTTTCGGGCGTCTATTGACTATATCTTAAGCAACCGAATTGGATCATTATCCAACACAGATTCCAGAGCTTATTCTCGAAGTTTAAGTTGTTTCTGCTCGGTCACCCATCGCCATTTAGTCGATGAACTGCACGTACGGGTTGCTTCAAAGAAGCAGTGAGCCCAGAACGCTTGGCTGCCGATTTTCCATTCTCTCTTTCGAGATCCTTAATTAGATAGATCACATAGAATTTACATTTCTACCTGTTCGGAGTTTGGCTCTTAACCATCCATTCGGACCTTCCGATCTATCCGTCTTCCAGTAACTAAGGTCCAGGAAGGAATTCAGAATTAATCTTCATTCCACCTAAGATCCTAAGGGGTTATTACCATCCGATATCCTTTCGACCATCTGCTGCAAGACCGTTTTCACGCTCTCCGCGGTACCCAAAGGCTTTAGGAGTTTCCGGAAATTTGACGATGTGGCCATATATGGGTATACCAATTTTTCCATTTCGCAATAGGTTAAGGCCCTTCCACTCAAGGACGAATCACTCATCAACCGTTGAAAGCTACCGTAGCGTTTATTCAAACGAACCTACGTTGAGCTTCCTATGCGGGCAATTATATAGATATGTTCCATACCGACTAGCAATTCACTATTCAACCGTTTCCTAAAGTCCAAATAGTTTAATACAAGTTTACATCTCTTCCATTTAGGCAAAAGCTTCCTAGTATCCATGCGCGCTACAACACAAAATGGTGATCCGTTACAGACTTGGCAAAATGCAAGTTGAAGATAAACTAAGTGTCCCTTAGGAGCGTGTAGGTTCAACGGTGGACTTACTTTAAAAAGAAAAATGTTACCATTTATCTTCCTTTACATTCCACAACTGACGCCTCCTACCAAATGTCGTGACTGCTTTTGTACTCCCAAAAGACGGATCCTACCCATCTTTGAAAGAAATATTGCTGCAATAATATAATAAATCCTACTTGTACATTTTCTAACATCTCCTTCCTAAATTTACTTAATTGGAATTAAGATGCATGTTATTATATCAAATCGAAGTTGGTGAATATCCTCATGTACCAATTTTACAACGAACTTTTGCTATTTCTAATTATGCTCTTCAAATTATTCTAAAGTAAATGCAATGAGATTTTTAATTTTTAATCCCTCCCATGTTTAGTTATATTTCAACTTCCAACAATAGAAATTTCGAACAGAAAATTGAGCAACTAAATTAAATCTGGAAAAGTCTTGGACAGAACAATAATTGTCAAAGCTTTTGTAATCCGCCTGGCGGAAATAAAATTTGACCCATTTGATAAAAGAGTTTTGTATTGAATAGTTTAGTTCAAGTTACTCGGAAAATTTGATTCATGAAGATCTCTTGTGTTACAACCAAACGTTTCTCTTCATGTTATCCTCTTCAAAATTTATCAAAGCTTCATTTGGAATAAATTTTCGTCAAAGTTTCGTGAAGTAATAGGTTTCTTCAATTAAAAGAAATTGACGAAGGTGTAAAGGTATCTATCTCATTATTGCGTAAAATTTTGTTAAGCTAATTAAATAGGATGAAATTTGCTTAAAAAAAAAACGGGGATTTTTTTTTTTTTAGAAAAAAAAATTAGTTGTATATTTAAGTTTAAGAGGAGGGACGATCTTTGTTTGTGGCTCAATGATAAAACTGATTATATTTTAGTTTTTTCTTTGATGAATTTCTTTTTATATTAAGCTTTGTTGGTTATTCCTAAAATGGCCTTTAATGTAGCAAAAAGATAATCAAATTGTCACAATCTATTGATAAGTTTTGTTGTGTTCACCAAATTAAACAAAACGATCAATGAAGAATATGAAGCGTGTAAATTCTATTCGTTGGAACTAGTTAATTTTTTAACAATTTGGTACTCATGACATTTTTTTTTTTTTTCATTTCGTCATTATTTATAAATTCTGAAATTTTTTTATTTATTTTATTTACAACAAAACCGACTAGTAATTTATATCCTTCCTTGGTCTAAACCTTTTTAAAAAATTTTTTTTACTTGATTAAATCTTTTAAAAATATATTGCGCGTGCTTATCAACTTAATCGATTTTTTTTCTTCCCCTGTATATTTTATTTCACATTATTCCATTGTTCTGTTCATTAAGTTTCCACTCTAATCTTGAAAGGAATACTTTATGTTTAATTTGTGCCATTACCTTATTTCTAGGATGATTAAATTCGCAAGTTTATCTATGAACTAGTGTTCGGCAAATACAAAGGATTAGGAATAATGACAAATGATTGAGCAAATCATTTTAATGGTCAAATAACCAGGTCATTTCCGAACACCGCCAATCTCAAAGAAAATTTATATAATTGCAAATGTTAAAATACGTCAGAGTACAACCACATTTTTTCAGGACATTCTTGATAATAAATTTTTTTTTTTTTACTACCGTTACTAATCTGCTAAGATCGATCGATTAAATCTTCAAAAATGCCAAGGTTCTAAAAGAATGCATTTTTATTTTGTTAATACCCATCATTCCTGCCTCATAAATTTAAAATAAAATATATATATTGGTTCTTAAAAATAAAATGCCTAAACTTTTTTTATATTACGAAAAGGTGTATGTATTAAATATAAGCCCATATTGTAATAATGATATAAAACATTGTTAATAAGAAAAAGAAAAAGAAATCAAGTTATTAAAAGGGGATTATTTAGAAAAAGATGCGACCTGCATGAGCAAATTCTCTCTCTGACTTCGGATTGAAAGTCAGTAATTTTGATTCAGCAGAGGCAATTCTATCGATGATTCTTTAGGAATTTGCTTAGGAGGATAATATCTTACTTCTCAGTAAACGTTCGTTGAATTAGATGTAGAGCGGGTTCTTAAACGATATCGTGGAAATTTTTAGGTAACAAATCAGCGATAAATATCATTCTGATCATTTGGTAAGTTCAGAAAAGAACATATCAAGAATATCAAGTTGAGATAAAAATCTCTTTTAGTTAACTTTGATGATATCCATTATTGAACTATTTCCAATATTTCGAATTAAAAAAAAGTTATTTCGCAATGCAGAACTTTTTAATTTTCACCTCTAGATCATAATGAAAATGATTCCTGTTTCATTTTTTAAATCAATTTAAATTTTGTTCATTTTCTTGCTATTGTTACATCTAATATACTTCCTTCTAAACATCGAAATTTCTCTTGTAGATTGTTTACAGGATGGTAGGATGCCAGGCCGCCCTAATTATTATTTTTTTTTTTATAAATATTGGTTGGAAATCCTAAAACATCTCAGCATTTCACGCTTGCCCTTCTTATAATTGTATATATAAACCTTAAATTTCGCTGTTTTATGTAACATTATAATTTTAATTTGTAACTTCATTTATTTTATTTTATAGTTTTAATTGCGCAGTTTAGCATTGCATTTATCCCGTTTAAATAGATTGACATTGTGAAAGTGTAGAGTGCCGACGTTGAGGCAACGCTGATTAATTGAAATTATTAAATAAACACAGTATATTTTTACAATTACTTAATTTTTATTCAATTAAATTTTTCAGCTTACAAATAAAATGGTTTATAAATACATAAACGAAAGAACTGAATACAAATCTATTTATAAAATTTTAAAACGGTTTTTTGTTAATCTCTACATTAATGGAGGTGAAATATTTAATTAATTTGACCCCGGATAAAATATGAAAAAAATCGGGGTTTAATCCCGGACTTTTTAATAGGATGGCGATGATGATTAACATCCCAAAATTTAATTTTTATTAGGCGGTGTTATAGAATAATATTAATTATATTTAGCTAAAATGAACTTAATTTTTACTTCATTTTAAATAGATATTGTGAAATTACTCAAAATTTAAATTATAGATACAATTTAATCAATTTATAATAGAAATATTTTTTATGTAATGAATATAAAGTAAAAAGTAAAATTTATAGACACGCAAAATAGAAATATGAGACGTTGCCAGTTAAAATCACATCACAGCACGGATCATATGATTTACTAAAGCAAAATTTGAAACGTTCGACAACAAAAAAGTTGGAAAGTTCACTTGTCCTGTATTCAAAGACAGAAAATATGTGTAAGAAAACGATTTTTAATTGTATTGTTTACAACAAATAAAATAAGATCAATTTCTTTATGCTAAAAAATAATTTCTGAACGGGAAATGACATTCCAAAGTAGAGGCCTGCAAAAGGCCGAGTCCGGTGCGGCAATAATAAGTTTAGAATTTTCCGGGCCGAGTAGGTACCAGCCCGGATTTCGGCAAAAATCATTATTTAAATAAAATTTAGCCAGCCGCCACAGATTGTATAATAAAATATTTTATTGTTGTTAATCAATTTCATATTGCTTATAAACAGTAATAGCATTTTGGTATCAGTTGGTGCTCTTCATTAATTTAATCTTTTTTGTTTATTTATTAAAAAATTTGTAAAAAAATTAAATATATATTGTTATTTTTGTAATTGGTTAAATAAAAATAAAATGATTTAATTGTTAAATTTCGCATCGCCAATAATTATAATTAAGTCCGGGTCGTGCTGGCATTTTAATACACGAATTTAACCCAGGCTGGGACGGGCCGGCATTTTAATTTTTGGCTTAAAGTCCGGGGCCGGGCCGGGCTTCAAAATTTGGACTTATGCAGATCTATATAATACTTTGAATTTCAAAGTATTAACGTTAAATGGAGATTTCCGAAAAAAGAAATTCTTACCAATGAACGTTTTTATTATAATAAATCTTTTTTTTTTCGGATATTCTCGGCTGTCCCGTAACTTATGAAATTAGCTGTAAACCTATATTATTGTTTTTCTTCGTTAATTCAAACGTTAAATAAATATTCAAAGAAAAATGTCAAAATATTGTTATAGTTAAAAATATATTATAATTTTGAATTTATTTTGAAATCAATTTTGTAGTACCATCCAGAAATTCGGTTAGACCATTTATTTAATATATTAGTTTTGATTCTCAACAGTTTTTTGACTTTGCTTTGGGCTTTTTCGATTTAAGTTTCAAATTAACCTAATAGTGGTTTCGAATTTCGACATTGTTCAATGGTTTTGGTAAACCTAATTAGTTAAAACAATGAAGTTTATTTTTTTCATACTGGCTTCCTGTTTAAAAAATTTTGTACACTGCCGCCAATTTAATTACAATAAACTTTCGTAGGATCATAATTTAATTTTTTTTCAAAATTTATATTTTGAAATAGTTTTCGACTAACTTTCTTGGTAAGGTTACACAATCTTTTGCGCATTTTGCTACAAATTAACGTAAACTAGCTTTGTCCAATTAATTCGTTTTGCTTTTGAAAATGTTTCCATCTCACGTCAACAATTTAATGAGCAAAATCTTCCGTTTCAGGTAAGTAATCCTAAATATATTTTGGATAACGTTCAAATTATTTTGTTATTGCCTTAATTGCATATTTAATATATAAATTAAGTCGATTGCATGTGGTAGAGTAAGGAATTTGGTTATAATTAAAGTTCATTACATTAAGAATAGTTCATTTAAAAAATTCAATTTTGGATAAATATGGTTAGTTATTACAATACATATGTAACAAGAACTTTTTTTTTGACGGAGAGATGGCTTGGCTAGAGTGATTTTTGTTTTCTTTTTTTTGTGTAATTATGTATTAAAAGTTTGAAATGTCATAGCATTATTATGCTTATTGACCTAAATAAACTATTGCAATTGTCGGCTGGCGAGACTTTGTGCTTGCGTTGGAAGGAATTCGACTTCAGCTTGTACCGCAGTAAATTTCAATCAATTGCGCCACTAATTTTGTTCGTTTTCGCGTTGCTTTGCAAGACATTTTTCATAACTTTAAGGAGTGTCTTGACATATATATTTATTATCCATTATGAATGCTAAAAGAAAATTCTATGTTAATCAAATATCGT